GTTTTTTTAAATTTGAGTCTAATACATCTAAAAACGAAAATAAAAATTCCAAATAATCTACATTAATCTTATGCTTTGTTAATAACAAGTATACAATCTCGTTGAATTTTTTTAAAGTTGTACTTGGAATACCAAATGGTTTATCAGCATCATATAGTGTGAGATTATTTAAACTTAAGTCATCGTGTTCCAGTGATGTGTACATTGGCCAATCGTCCATACAAGCCAGGCATTGACAAGAGAATTTATATTGATCCAGTAAATGTTTATTACGTTCTACTTTATTATGTGACATAAAATTGACTCCATAATCAGTAAACAGCTGAGATCCTTTTGAAATAGGTTGTAAGGCCCGAGTTACCTCTATTCCGCCATACGTTTGAACAATAACGTTTGGATTGCACGAATGATTAATCAAACTATATGCAGAGCATAAAATAAGAGCGACGGTGTTAAAAGTCCCAGATTTATCAAACTCGACAACATTGCTATGCTCGCCGATGTACTTAGGAAGCTCAACGGACGCGTAGGAATTCAAGTTAGTTATACACAGCAAATGTACTAATGATACGCCAACATCACCTATCAATTCATGTGGTATATTGTATTCATTTAATAGTAGTAACGAAACCATCATTGATGCAGTACAATGCATAAAAAAAAAATTAGATGTTGTTCTTTTTGTTTCATTTCCGTCTAGTGCATAGACCGAGTAAAACATATCCCTAAAAAATGCGTCGCTCTCAGCGATAATAAATTTTGATGCAGTATATTCTCGAACCATTGAACAAAAACGATCTATACCCATGGTGTTTGTTAGCTGTATAAAACAACGTAAGGCTAGATCGTAAGTGGGTTCAATAGTTGGATCCCCTTTGAGGGGGCAGACTAAAGAGCATTCGATATCATGATAACTCTTGAAAGCTTTTTGTAAACATATCTCATCACAATATAAAACCTTATGAATAAAACATATTTTCATTATTTTTCGTAAGATACAGACCAGTGGTGCACACAGGATTTTTTTTCGGGGGGGGGGGGGGGGTTTAAAGTGAAAATATAACACATTTTACAATTAACAAAATTATGCAAATCCTTAATATATTTTGACTTAAATAATAGCATTGATAATAGAATAGACTACTCTATAATAAATAATACTAGGTATTCAATACTAGCTCTTCATATTTCAAACTTGTAATATTTGTAAATTTTAACCTAGACATAGGAAAAAATTTCGAGGGGGAGGGGAGTTACAACCCCTTAACCCCCTGTGCGCGCCACTGATACAGACTAATACGTTTGTTATCATTTTAAGATATACCTGTACACACGTGGAACATGGTATGCCAGATAAACATCTTTTAAAACAATAATTGCAATTTAAGGCCCATGCATCATTTTTAAATACACCCGCAATGGGTTTTTCAATTATAAGTATTTCACCTGAAAAAAAAAATTGCGTTCATAAGCTTTTCTGTCAAAAAATATTTTAAACAGTTATACAGGAAGTAATTCAAATGTACTTTAAACAGAAAATCAGTGAACATTTAAATAATAATTTTAAGGTACATATTATATGATAATTAGCAAAGGTGGGCAAGTTAGTGAAAATAATTAACTGTGGTTAGTTAAGTTAATTCAATTAAATTGCCTTCAGTTAAATTTACAAGTTAACAAAAAAAAAAGTAACTCGATAAGTTAAAAGTTAAGATAGAAAATAAAATTAACTCAGTTTAAAAAAAGTTAATTTTTCTAATATCATATGTTATACTTGTATTTATAACGAATACGCAGAATACTGAAATATAAATTATAATTTATAAATATCTCTGATGATTTTTTTGTTTTGTCCATATTGTATTGTCGTATTTACCAGCAGGTACCTGTGTTATTAATATCCAATTTTAACTTTACACTTTTAAAAGACTATGCTATTTATTTTTAAACCTGTTTTTAGAACTACACTATAGAGTTAGACTAAACAAAAATCATATTATTCAATATCGAATAGATTATTAAATAGAACTCGTAAAAATAGCAAGTACAAAAATAGATAAAATATTAATTATTACTATTTACTATAGTATCTATAGATTAAAATATAATTTGATTATTATGAAATTAGGATATTATGTTATTATATAATAAAAACAAATTACCAAAATCGAAAGAATAAGTTTTGTCTGATGGTTCCACGTGATAAAAAAAAAATTAAAATTAACTTAACTGTACAATAAGGATAATTAACCATAAAAAGCTAAGTTAAAACAAAAAAAAAAAATTAACTTTTTAACAAGTTAATGCCCACCATTGATAATTAGAACATGATAACAACTATATAGATATGATTCCTATGTTAGGAAACGTAATAAAAAATGTAATTAATATAAATGTTGACAAAAGATAAAATGTTATTAAGTTTATATTAATTATAACAATAATTATTATAATATAAATAGTAATATATTATGAATATGTAGCTAAATAAATAATAATTATTCAAATATGTATATTTTTGTTACCCACAATTTTAAAAATAAATTTGAAACAAATATTTATTAATCATTATTCTTAATATTAGTATACTGCTTATACGTTAAAAAAAAACGTATTATGTATTTATATAATCTTACCACTTACCGGGTTTAATGTAATTTAATGCAAATAATCCTTTTCCCATCTCTTTTGAATACTTAATTTCGACAAATTTTGTTTGGATGGAATTTTTTTTATTTTCGCGTCCAGAAAAACTTATAATTTTGGTTTCCTTATGATTGATATTCACTTTATTCACTTTAGTTTCTTCACACATTTTTATGTAATTAGATATTCTTAATTTCGTTTTTTCTTTTTCAGCCAAAGACATTTGAGAAGTACTATTCAATTGTAGTAAACAATTCTAAAAACCGAATATTTAGAAATTAATATTAATATTCCTAATATACTATACTTGTACGAATTGTAATTTTTCATATAATTGAACATAATCTTACATCAGAAACGTTTAGTATATCTATTTTACTGTGAGATATTTTTTAAGGTGAACTTTTTTTTGGGACCTTACAGTTTAAAAATTAAATAAATATAAAATTTTACATAATTTTTACACTGCAATAATAGTTTTATTATAATAATTAATAAAATATAACATAAAAATATTATTTTATACTCATAGAGTATGTTTATAAATTGCTTGAGATTAAATAAATACGAGTTCAGTGTTCAATCTTGATTGTTAATATTTATCTTTAAATTAATCACGCTGATAAAAAAAATTAGTATTTAATAAAATAAATAATTGTTACATACTGAAAACATTTTTAAAGCCAAAGTTTGATGATTCATATGTCGATAACAATTGCCTTTTCTTTCTAACAACATAAATATTTTATTCGACAATGGATAATTTTTGAATGTCAATACACGATCAATACACTTTAAGCAACGCTCATATTCCTCTAAATAATATAAAGCAGCAGAAGAATTTGCCACACATAAAGCAAAACTAGGCGAGTCGATTTCTGCTAACATCATACCTCGAGTGTAACATTTTAGTGATTCCTCATAATTTTTAATTTTAAATTCGTCATTTCCACGTAATCTATACAAATCTGAAATGTCATTATTTTTATTTGCTGAGGAACAATCCATATTAATAAAGACTCCTAATTTTTGAAGTTTTTTTTTTAGATGTTTTCTCCATCGTCTGTGTGCCTGTGATAGTTTAATGAAACAATCTGATTTTTTGGGTAACCAATCATGTTGTTGTAGTAAGCCGTAGACGTATATAAATTGATCCTTGGTATTTATTTTGTTTGTAAATTCTAAATAAACATCTTGAGTAAAATCCATTTCTTTGAAATGATTTGGGTATACATATTCAGCAATAGGCATATTATAGTAAGCCATAATATTATAGTATTATGGTCTTATACTCAACTAAATAAACAAAAATTATTTTAATAATAAAAAAAAACATTCTTATCTTCACTAAAATAAATATAACTAATTAAATTTCATTACATATTTGAATAATATTTCTTTATAAATATTTAATAACAAGAGTATCATTCGATGTTTATAGCTACAATTCGGTCGGTAGAAAATCAGTTGGTATCTACACAAGAATAAACATTGACAAAGACTGGTCGTATTATAATGATTTATTTTATTTTAAAAATAAATATGTGGTCGTAAAATATAGAATGACTAAAACCATTATACAAATATACATAAATAAATCGTTAAACACGTCATAATGTACGTATTATGTTTATGTAACATACCTAATTGGAATATACTTCTTACTTTATATCATTAGGTACCTAATACTAACTTCATAGTTACATATATGTAATTATAGTACTTAATATGACGTGCGTGGTCTACTTACTTTCACTTTTTGACTTCTAGTAGTAAGATATAAATTTTAAATGAACATTCAATTATAATTGCCAAATCAATGTGAATAACAAATAAATATTTAAAATAAAAATGCGTATTATAAATACGCGCATGTGCGTAGTTAAGTTTTTTTTTAAAAAAAAATTAAAGGCACAAACATATAATTAAATTATAAGTTACTAAATATAGGTTATATACGGTAGGTATATGATTATATTTCAAATACCCATATTGAATATTGAGATTACGAGATGAAAATAGTATGATACATTTAGCTGACAGCTGTTTGTTTATAGCAGAGTAATTAATTTATCAATATATTGCGGCACGACTTATAGATAATATGTTGTCTTATATTAACTTATATTTGGTCATGATCATTCATTCAACTAAATAAATTAAATGATACAAGAATTAAACTTAATTTTACAGTAATATTTGATAGCAATTTGGTAATATTATGTGACCATATAACATGAGTTATTGAACAAATTAATTTTTTTATACTTATTAGGTACCACTGATGCCAGAAATATATTAGCAAAATTGTTATACAAATGTAATTTTAAAAATAATTTGCAATTACTTTAAAATTAGAATTAACATAAATAAGACTCATAATAAATGATCTATAATTTTATAGGTACATGTATTATATTTCATTAAATAATAACTAATTTATGAGGTGTACATGAATTTTTAAACAGATATTTTTTAAAATTTGTAGGCTATTCATTATATACTGAATTACTAAATAAAATTACTCAAAAACCTTTTGATAAAATGAACTGTATGAATACCTATGAATATATATAAAAATGAAGCAAAAAATGTATAATATTTCATCAATTGAGAACGGCTGGGCCGATTTGGCTCAAATTTTTTCTAATTGTTCGTAATTGCCAAGAGAAGGTTTTTACGAAAAAAATAGTTGGAAAACTGCTACTGTTTAATAAATCGTAGTTTAATTAAATAATTTTTGACCCGGTCGATAACTGCGCAATGCAAAATTAATTATTAAATTAAACTATTAAAAAACTATTAAAAGCTATTTAAAAACTATTAATTTTATTTTAAGTATTAAATGACGGGTATTGCATAAATATTAAACAACAAAATTCCGCAACAGGTGTTAAAACAAACAAGAATGTTAGTTCGAAGGATTATTATGCATATCTATCGGTTGATTATATTAGTCGCGATCAGGACAAAGTTATTCTACGATGTCGTGAGCTTTGTCAACAATTCATGGTTGACATGTATGTAAAGATAGAGAGCGAACGATTTCAGAACTTGTGATTCAATCAAAAAAAGATGCGTGCAGAAGATTCTCAAAATAATTGTTAGATATCGGTGATGGGAAAGTTACTACAGATAAAACTACAGATGAAACGGAATGCATACAATTACCGACTGATTTCTGCACATTGATTCGCAAGATGCTCTCATTGACCAGATATTTCTCAATGTATACAGACAATACATAAATCATGAGTGGCTGGCAGAAAGAGCAATTTTAGCAACTGAAGTTTGGATCTCCGGTTATTTTACTTTGTAATTTGAACCCACCACGATTGTGCAATGGCACGCGATGTCATTAAAAAATTAATGAAAAATGTTATCGAAGCCATCGCTTTAAATGACAAATTCCGAGGTGAAAATATATTATTACTGCGAATCCCTATTTTATCCACAGATGTGCCAATACTATTTAAACGCCTTCAATTTCCAATTAGATTGGCATTTGCAATGACTATCAATAAGTCTGCAGGCCAAACGATGTCTGTTGTGGCTTAGATTTGAGTACATTATGTTTTTCACACGGACAATTATACGTGGCGTGCTCTCGAACTATCTAGTTTGTTTGTGTTGGCGAAAGATGGGATAACAAAAAATATTGTACACTCTGTTGCGTTAAGCGATTGATATTACTATTTACTAATAGTGTCATAATTAGCGATGTATATTATTTTAAAGGATCAATTTTAATAAACTATTAAAAAAATAAAAGTTTGAAGTTTTTCATTTTTATATTCCGTCACCGTTCACAGCACTCCATACCTCTTCCACTTACATACCACATCCTTACATACTTATACTAAATTAGTGATTTCTTTCTAGAAAAATATTCTCTAGAAATAATTTATATGACAAAATAACGTTTGTCAGGTCAGTTAGTATATATATAAATAACTATTCATATATTGTATACAATTTAATTTATCAGTTATAAGCCCTTAATAAATATATAACATACATGTCAATTATAAAATATAACCAATATTTTGAATATTTTTGAAGTTTTTTATCATGTATCTTCGACACTTCAATAGTGCAAAAACCAAATACGCTAGTCTAAAAATAAAATAACTATTTAATTTAATTAATTATTATTTATTATACCCATATTTTTTTAACAAATAAAACACAAAACAATAATTTTCTAATAATTTTTTTTATAAATAAGATAACAAAATAATTTAATAGACAATTAAAATCGTATTAGTTATAACAGCCAATTTGATCTATAACATTTGTAAAAAATGAAATAAATAAATAAATAAATAAATAAATAACCCCTTATTATGATTAAAATCTACTACAAATTATTCTTTGGTGAACAAAATATACATTTCAATACTAATTTAAGTATATTTAATAGAAACAATAATGAAAATTAAAAAAAAAAATAATAAAAATATTACATTATATTATTTACATTACATATAAAACTATATTTTTAAAGAGCATGTATCATTGCCAACTCGGATCATAATTGTGCCATTCTTTGATAGGAGCCAAAAACACTCTTCTATTGTCATATGTAAAACTAATAATGCCTTTGTAAGCAGTTCTAGGTACACCACTTTTGAAATCATCCATTAGACCAAATATTTTTGTTAAGGATTTCAAGTTATTCTTAGTATAATAGGTTATTCTCACAGGATCTCTATGACTAATTTGCTTATTTTTAAGTTCATTTATACTGACAAGTGGTGCTCTATAAACCATCGCAACAAAGTTATTATCATATTCATCTTTTAATAAATATGTTAAATTTAATTTAGTAAAGTCAACTGGAACTTCATTCAAGTATATATATTTTAGATGTTTTTCATAAAAAAGACCATTGCTTACACCGATTTTTCCAAAGGTTTTGGTTCTAGAAAGCTCAGGTCGTATGCATGATCTACCTTTTCTTTGGTCTGGATGTCTCATCCAATCATCCCAATAGCTATGTGGCCATTTATGCATTAATTCCATCCATAGTTTACGTGTAAGCATCCAACCAAGTCCAGGAAAAAAATCTGACCGGTATAATAGTTTTGGATCATTTCGGTCAATCAATGCAAATTTTCCATTATCATTCCAAGCAGAAACACACCATAAAGTTTCATCTGCTTGAAGAATTGGTAATGTAGCTTTAAAGTATTCATAAAAATCTGGAGCTACATCTAAGTCATCTTCAACAATTATTGCAGTGCCATAATTATATGTATTAAATACTTGATTGAGTGCCCATTTATAATGTCTAGAAATTTTGAAATAACCACTAAATTTTTTTTCTTTAGATGGCACTTGTATATCTTTTTGATCTGGTTGGTGTATATGAATTAAATCTCGACCAAAACTTTTTATAACTTGTGATGTTCGTTCATGAATACAGTCTTGAGAAACAATTATTTGAAATTCATCTTTTGATTTGCGATATTTAAGTAATTTATTTATACATCTTGATATAGAAGGTCGATTACAAGCAATTATTAAAATAACAACACTAGATGAATTGGATATCTGTTTGTTAAATTGATAATTTTCCTCATGACTTGAATAATTTAATTGTTTAATATTTTCACGTATTAAATTGTGCGTTTCTACTTCAATTTTTAGTCGTAATTCAAAATCATCCAAATTTTCATCAATATAATTATTGGGTTTAGCAATAAAGTTGTCATCAAGTAAAAAATGATTAACACCAAGCCAGACAAACACACTAAACAAACCTAATGCTAAAAAACGGTTCTTTTTCATGATAGCATATAATTACTATATTTTGGATTTTAGTTTGATCATCAATATGTGTGCCATTACATTTGAAATAATTCTTCTATGATGATTCGCCAACTATACAAATCTGAATAGAAATATATTCCTCTCTTGTTTATAATAACACTTGAACCTGAAAAAAATTTATAAATAGTTTTTTTCAAAAATTTGATTAAGTGAATAAAAATAATTAAATATTTATAATACTAATATATACATATATAATTAAATATATTTTAATACATGTTGATAATTTATTAAATTAAATTAAGACTAGTCATATTTTTATTTGTACACATTATAGAAAAAAATACTTCTATTTATTAGTGGGAGAAGGGGAGCATGTCCTGTAAGTAAAATTGTTCAAGTTTTAGTAATTTTATTTATAAACTTTCTTCTATTTTTAGAGCAATTACAAATTTTTAATTGACGCATCACAAGTATTTAATCGAGGTAAAAGATTTATGTCAAACCTAAATGGAATTATTTGTACATGGTATATTTACAAAAAATGAAGAATAGTTTTAAAAAGAAGTTAGAATCAATATTGTTTATTATAGTATTCTTTACACTTCCACATTCTTTCATTTACACCAAAACTTTCAAAATCATACAAACCCCAATGTATCAGCATATCTTTGTTTTTTTTTTAACTTTTAATAAAAGTTGAATCAGACATTATAATGAATTGTATACATTTAGAAAAAAAAAATTAAATTAGAACAAATTGCAAGTCACACAATTAACTGACAAAAATTCTTAAGAACTTTTATTTAGATTTTTATAATTTATTTATACTGATATTAAAAATATTTAATAATTTTTAATAAATCAGATATATTTAATAATGATTTATTATTATTTTTAATTATAATCCATAAAATGTAATTTTTATTTTTTTAAAAAAATAAATCTTAAGTAAATGTAGTATACTAAATTAAATGTTATATAATTTTCAAAGTTAGTAGCTTATTTTACAATTACTATTAAATAATAAAATAATATTTTTCTTATTTATGACAAATTAGTTTTAATATGTGATAAAAAATAAATACTTCGATTTTTTGTTATCTGTATAGAACATTTAACACTATCAATATTGTCCATCATAGATATTATGTACATTTTAATTATTACAAAATATAAAAATCTACTAAACAACAAGTTATGGTACTAGGTAAAGGTTAAATTAAATTAGGCTTAAATTTACAAAGTAAAAATAGAATGCTTAAGAATTTTAGATAAATTATTAAAATAATCTTAATTTAAAAATTCATTAATGTAAAATAAATTAATATTAACACATAGTTAGGTGTCAAATTAAATACTCACAAAAATAAAAAAATTGCATTTTTTTAAAAGAATTTTTCAATAAAAAAATTCCTGCTTAAAATGTTATGGAAAATAATGTTAGAATCTGGAAAATGTATACAGCTATTGTACTAAAATCAATGAAGAAATGGATACAAAACAAATTAAAATTGTAATTAAATAGGTATATTTAAACTTCATTTATTTTTAATAATTTAAAATCAAACGAACTACATATGATTTTTTTACTGTTAAGTAAATAGTTAGTATGTGTCTGTTAGATAATAGTAATAATTGTATAATATAATTGTATACTTAATTGTAACAAATATATTTTAATTCATTACATACAATATGTGTTTAACATTGATTTATTATCTCTGATCTTATATATCCAATATAGAGAATTAAAATTTCAAGGACTTAAATAGTGGGTTAAATCAGTGGTTCATAAAACATTTTTAAAAGCTAAGTTCCTATTTTCGTCTAAAATATGGTACCACATAAAAATAACAAATGGTCATTGCATAAAAGTTAAATAATATTTGTGAATTTTATTTTGTATGAATAATTTATTGCTCTATATAGTTTGATTTTCAGCTGTATTCACAAGTGTATGTCATTAAATTTTCTTTCTATTGTACAATAATACAACAATTGACTTAAATTTTAAATGTGGTATTTTATTGCAATTTGTAATTAATATTCAATATATTTTAATAATCAGTTTTATCAATTACTCATTTCTGATTGTATTGGATTTCCACTTCTTAAATTTTTCATTTTATTAGTTTATCTTTAATAATAATCTGCTACACAACATTTTTAACACAAATTATTTTATAGTTTGTTGCTCTACTTTTTTAATTTTTTCATTCCAAATAATTTATATTAATAATTTCCTGACATTTAAATTGATGCTTTTGGAAATGACCATGTTATTTATAAAACTAGCAAGGTTAAATAAAATCGTAAATATTCTAATTATTTTTTTATTTTATTAATACGAGTATGTTAAATGATGTATAAGCAAAATAATTTATAATTTACCTTAAAATTTCCTTACAGATTACCTTTAATATGTTATCATAATGTTAAGTTTTTAGGAACTTTAAAATAATAAAAATTATAGTTACGTGTTACGTGACAGAGCTCGACTTGACAAAATTAAAGAAGAGGAATTCTATTAACTATACAAAAAAAAGAGCGTCCCCAAAAATTGTTAAGCGTTATAATTATAACCAGGAGCGAAAATTCAATGAAAAAATTGGGGGTGCTGAAGCCCTTCTATCTTTTTCATGTTCCTTAATGGTTATAGACACTCGCAACTAGAGCTCTTAAAACACGTGTCACGGAATTCACGTGTACACGTGAAATACGTGTTTATCCAAGTATAAATCCATTTTTATAATGATGAAAATTAGTAATTTTATGTTATACACTTGAAGTTTTAATAAAATATTATTAGTACAATATTAAGTTAAGGATATACGTTTTTATTTTGAATTTTACACGTGACACGTGACACGTGAATTCCGTGAATTCACGTGTATTAAGAGCTCTACTCACAACTCGTACAATTCAACAGTTACTAAAATATTTGGTAAATATTTGAATATTTTTAAATTTAAATGGTTCACTTTGATTTTGAATTTTTATTGCCCATATAACGAATTACCTGTCTGTAAACACAAATATTTCATTACATGATTACTTTTAGATTCTGACTGAAGCGAAGGATATTATGGTTTTATAATAATGTTTGTATTTTATTTTTTAACACTTTTTCGGATAGAAATACTGGTCCAAACATTTTTTCTAGGAACTTCCACCACCATTATTTAAATGTAAACTAACATGAACACATTTACGGATGCTAATTTGCAAGCACACCCAAGTACCCCCTCAAATTGCGCCTATGGTTATAACGTTATAATAGTAAGGAAACGCTAAAATTTCCGAAAATTAGTTGGGATACTCCGTGTCCCCCCTCAAGTCCAGCACTGCATGTCGAATAACCTCGACCGAGCAACACGTTATCATATCGCGTATCCGTATTTATAGCTCTCAATAGCTGAGTACAATGCTACGAACTACTAGATAATATGAATTATTATTTCATTTATCCTAAACTTCTATTACTTTTTACATAATAAATAAGCACATCAAAAGTGGACGACGAGCCAAAAAATCAAATAGTCTTTGGGACATATTAATAAACTCATAAAAAAAATAAATAAATAATTATTATTAAACTAATAACAAAATAATCACAATTCCACCACAACAACAGATAATTTAATTAACGACTTAATCGTGCAAACTCAACTTCCAGATAATCCTATAGTTATAACAATAATGCAGTCCACGGTCTTATAACAGCACTTCTCAACCAATAATATGTAAACCACAAATGAAAGGGACGCTCTTTTTTAAAAGTAAAAAGAGTCCCCCTTTAATTTTTCCAAGTCAAGCATTATTCACTATTTTTTATTTTCACTAAGATCTTATATTTTCTAGAATATTTCTTCGAGTGTAACTCAGAAATTAAATGAAACATAAGCCCTTTAGAAGAGGATTATATTAAGAACATATCAGATTTTAGTAAAAGAATCATTTATTGTTTTAACTAGCGACTCTGCTCTAAAAACTGTTTTCAAAACCAAAATTATCTCAAATTTTTCGCTGGACGTGAAATAAGAATAATCGGCACAACCCTTACTAGTTTTACAATTTCTTATACTTTTTATGTTAACATACCAGAGCAAAAATACATTTTTTCACTTATTGTATACAAAAATAAATTTAACGTAGAAAGTAATTTAAAATTAATATTTACTAACATGAATATTGACATTTTTGCCCGATATTGACACCGTTCACTAAAAATAACACCAACCGTCATTGAAGTAAATCATAATAACTATAATAATACAAATAATAATAGAATATCGTTACACTAATGACAATACCACGTATCTAAATTTCACCAATTGTTCAGGAGAATGAAAAAACTGAATAAATTTTAACAAATATTAACCTCATATTTTTATCAAATTTAGTATCAAGGCCGTAACTGGAAAAAAATTTCGGGGGGGTCTAACATTATTATTTAATACAATTTATAGTTAATAAACTATATTCATCGCTAAAATGTTTCTATTTTGAAAATTTCGGGGGAGGTCCGGACCCTTGGACCCCCCCCAGTTACGGCCTTGTTTAGTATAGATTATACTAAATAATATATCTAATTTGGAAGGGAAATAATTTAATAATTTATTTTAGGTTATTGTACAGAAAATAAATGTTGTGCCTAAGGAGATAACAAATATTTTGATTCCAAAAACTCATTTTATGTAAAATGTCAGATACGGGGTATTGTCATTAGTGTAACGATATATTTAATTAAATTTTTGTGCGTTAAATACTTATTAAGTACTTATACTATATGTATATTATCATAATTTTTTAGTTCTAAATAAAATGAAATTCCATACATGTAAAATAACGTATATATTTTTTATAAGTAAATAAAGATAACTAAGTCAGGTGGTACATGAACATTTTCAAACAGTGGAGATGATACGCATATATAAAAAGGTTGAGAACCGCTCTTAGAACGAATGGATCTTTGCAGGGAATTTGTGTTCGTATTTAATTTTGCCTACATTTAGCCCCGTTTTTGAAGCTATCAATATGTGGTAACATTGATAAAACGATAACATTTTTTTATTATAATAATTTTATATATTGCTAAATTTAAATTAAAATACAGTAGAACCCGTTTAAGATGCTCTTCGAGGGACCAGTTACAAATAGCGTCTTAAGCGGGAAATCGTATTACGCGGGAACAAAAAATTTTATTGTACCTATTTCACAATACATCCATGTAATATATATGTTACCAGAAAAGATGACAATCAGTCCGTGTTGACAATGACTAGTCAATAACGATAATGCCTGATTTAGTAAGGAATTAATGTCAATACCTAGTCATTGATAACAATTCCTAATAAAAGAAGGCATTGATAATAACATTAAAAATTAATTTAATATATTTTAATACTTATTAGCTATTTAGGATAAATCATAATCTTAACCTTTATTGTTACGTGGTAAATTACTATGACACTTGGAATTATATAATCTAGTATAGCGGTACCTAAACTATGCTCCGTGCAGCCTTTGGTGCTCCGCAATGGTTTGCCTAGGGCTCCGTTCGTAACACCACAAAAAATTTAAAAAAATGTTTATCGTTTAATTGGTTATCGTTATTATTAGTGAAGTATTTCTTTAAATTTTATACAATGTATATGTATATACAATATATTTTTATATGAACATCATTGACAATACGAGCGTATTATCCAAGAACATAGGGCGTATTATCCAAAGTAAATTACATGTTAAATGTTGTTAAAATCATGCAACTCGTAAAAATAAGCGTATTAGCCGGGAAATCGTCTTAAGCGAGAGCGTCTTAAACGGGTTCTATTGTAGTTAAATAAATTCAATAATACACAATTCGAAAAAAAAAAAAACATAATATTCACTTACGATCGTCATTTAAAAGGTACAATTCAAAAGTAATAAATAATATAATATTTTTATTACTCTCCTATATTTCAAGTTCAAAGTATCATATTTTAATCTTTATTAAATGAGAACAATGAATTAATTGTCAAATACAGCAATACTCAATTATGGCACCAAAATGTAATTGGTAAATTAAGGTTTAATACAGCTGATAGAGCAAAATTGGCAGGTAGCTTATTTTATTTTATATAATACTATACTACCATCTATACTGGTTCCTACTCAAAGGGTTCAAATGATATCCAAGATTCTGTTGAAGGAACAACATTGAAATATTTATAGTATGAGTATTATGGGCCAAATAGTTAGTAAAATGTATTAATAATCTAATTTTGTATTTGGAAACGACTAAATGTGGGTTGATGGGACCCATAGTTTAAACTTCAAACAGTTAGATACGCTTTTATAACAAAAATACAAAATATTAAACCTAATTATAACATTTGTATTATATTTTCGCTTGAAGTATTCGCAATGAATTGTGTATTTTTAAATTTTAATTTACTTATTGTGTTTTTTTTTTTTTGAATTGTGAATTATTAAATGTATTTAACTATTTTAATTTAAATTTAGAAATATATAAAACTATTATAATAAAAATGATGTTATCGTTTTTATCAATGTTATCACATTTTGATAGCTGCATAAAAGGGGCTAAATGTAGGCAATATTATATACAGGCACAAACAATTTTTTCTTGCGAAGATCCATTCGTCTCTTAGAAGATCTTATATTCTAAGACCGTGATTCAGCTGAATATAATCTTATCAACAAGAATAATAATAATTAACATATACAAAGAATTCCAAATAAAAATATTCATTCAAATTAAAGCATTCATTTCAAAATCAATATCAACTCATTCAAAAATTATTCACTGAGATTATACTCAACGAAACTTTTCCTAGAAAAGAACAAGTAATTGTATTTGACTCAATAGACAACCTACCACTAATAGATGATTTCATAGCAATTAGCAAACTTATAACCACCAAAAAAATATCAAATACGTGTCTAATAATCGATATATTGTATATACCAGCCTAACAAAAATATAGTCGATAATCTTATTGAAAATTACCCTGATATCCAAATAAATCATCACACACTAATAAAAATAAGACAATTAATAAACCCAGCTAAGAGCAATACTTTCTAATGCTCACCAACTATAACTAATGATAGCATCAAAGCATTACTCCAAGAACACAACATCAAACATTTTCTCCAATCATCCACATAAAGTCAGGCTTAAAAGATTTAGCTCATACCCTCAGTTTTAAATACTAAGTCAACACCGAAAATGACCACTAACTTCTTAATTCAACCCATATCAACAATGATATAACGCCGCATAGAATTTTTTTAACAGATGTTAACATTTTCACAATTTCAGGTACCACTAAATATATCCACTGGGTGACTTTGTATTGAAATTATTATTTCGGAGAGCTTACTGAATGGGTAATCATACATACATTTCTTGTTAATTTTTGATTTTTAAACCTTTACTCATGCTAAATCCAACTTACTTTTTTTCAAATAACTTTTGTAAAAAATTGTTTTTCTTTTTTAAAAATTGTTCAAATAGGAGTAAGTCAAATTTGTGGCAAAATAGGTTTTTTTATGAAATTTTTACCTAAAGCAATAAATTATTAAAAATAGTATCATGCGATTTAAGTTAATTTTTAGTATGTGATATTTTTGCAATTAAAATAATAACAAACTTATTATTTATAAAAAATTAATTAGATGTATTGCTTAGCAAATTAGGGATTCCATATAAACATTGAATATCTCAAACTACCAAACTAAAAGCAAAATAAAAGCAAAGTATACATCATTGGCCTTTCCCACCTGTATTATCTAGAAAGTTTGAAGTCTTAATTGCTAAATTAATAATCGACAACACAAATTTTACATACAGATACCTAATGTCTAAAAAGAATGCACCAATATACACCACATATGGGATCCTGATTAACATAAAACACGTTTACTGAATGCCGCATATACAATACAAACAGAAAAAATTCTTAACTCTCGGAGTCTTTCAACCAGGATCTCAACATGGATCTCTCCATCATAATCAAATTCATCATCACAGCAGATCTAACAAACAAAATAAAAGCACCAACTTCATATGTTTAATTTATTTACTTAATATATCACATACTAATATTTTTTATATTTATTTAAATTAATTGTAATCATATTAATACTACCTTATGACAACTTTTGCCGAGGGTTTTTTTTTTTGTAAAAAAAAAATAAAAATCATAATAAATTGCAGTAAAAAACAGTTAATAATTTACATTTTAAAGGTATGATTTTGTAAATTAAAATATTATATATACATATACAAATATATGAACGAAATTATAATGAAATTATGTATTAATCAATAATTTAAAGTGTTAATAGGTACAACTATTTAATATTTAATACTAATAATTATAAAAATTATTTACTTACATTTATTCAAATATTACAATTGATTACAATCTGGTTATTATAATACACATAAAAAAATATAGGTATAGCTTGTAACATCAATTAAAGAAACCTGTAAAAAAAATAAAAAATTGTAAAAGCATGGTTATCAGAAAAACAAAAATGAAATTGAGGAAAAAATTGACAGTTAATAATTATGTTTAAAATGTATACAATATGTTACGTTAAGGAAATTTATTTAAGAAATTAAGCTTAAGTAGTTACCCTGAAAGCATGACAGTTCAAACATGTTAATTTTATATTAGTATATTCAAATTCACAACAATTTTCTAAATAATAGTACTAAAAAGTAAAAGTGATATTCTGATATTAGATTATTATACTATAAGAACAAATTGGTTTCAAAGAAAATGTTGACATAAAAACTTTCAAAGTTAAACTGAACTTTTTTTAATAATCATAGTATTAATATATTAAAACAAGTCACTTACATTACAGTATTTCGGTAATAGCAAATACTAAATAGATGTTTATTTAACAAAGTTGATTTATATATTCTAATAAGATAATTTATACACAATATCCATATTTAAGTAAAGCCAAATTGTATAGTTAAAAAAACAAAAAAAAAACGGAAATCCATAAATCATTACTAAGAATATTTAATATTTAAATAATTAATATACTTATTTGTTTTAATTTTTTATATTAATTAAAATAGAAGCATTAAAAAATTACTAATCTTGAAGAGATTCTATCAATAAATTATATTTTGTCAATAAATTACATACTAAAATCATAGAAAACTGAACACAATTGTAATCAATAATATTATTGGAGTAAAAGAGAAACATTAAAGTTTCAAAATCATTGAAAATGATATTTTCATTTCATTTACAGTCAATGATGTATTCTAATAATATGCATGATACATAAAAGTTTTAAATACCTGTCCATTATTTACAAAACAACACATTTATAGATTTTAATTAGCATAGTATTTTCCAATAAAATTAGAGCATAAAACAAGATGTAGATAGACAGACTGATATCTTAAGATGAAAATTCATTGTCAAGCAAATCACATAACAACAATTTTACTGTAGGTTAAGAATGTGTGGCGAGGGAAACTTTTCAATCGAGCATTTTACATCAAACATCAAATTTTTTGAAATAAATGTCTATAGAGTAACATACCTAGGTCCTAGACTTAAGACATTTCACGTATTCGCCACTACAAATTCCAAACGTTGAATCATGTAGAAGAGCTCCATATCGGCTCGGCGAACACGTATCCGTGGTGTTATAACATGGTGTAGAGTAAACGTATGCAGCAAACTACCGAGACAGAGATGTATACGACGGGCGTATTCGGTTGTAGGCCAACAAAACATACGGCATGCATAAATAATCGCAATGCATATGAGTTGAGATAAAAATCAAGTTTAAAGTGGACGGTGATAAAGAAGATATGGAAAAGGATAATGAAACTGAATAAAAATTTCACCGTATTCGTAAAATGAACGTCTCTTTAGTTATAATATTAATGGTTTGTACACTATACGAGCCAATTGCAACGACGTTATCACATCACATCGTTATCGTGATAATAACATATAAAGTAAAGGCACGGACCACTACACCCAAGGTACCTAAATAGATTATAATCTATAAACCTTGCCACTATACGATCGGAGATCTTCTATGACGCGGATGATACCACAAATTATACCAACTGCTGATAATACTGATAAGAAGACAGTATGGTAACCACGACGATGTTTCTCGATACTGGGTAGTCTTCACTGTTTGTCCGCCTGGCCGTTCGTACCGCGAATGAGGCGCCAACTTCGAATATCGAGTCCGTCCGTCCGTCCGCAACAACCAGTCCGGTCAGGTAACTCAGTTTTCCCGCGACCTTCGGTTTGCGTAGTGGGCGCTCTTAGTTTTTCGTATTTTCGTTATTTTTCACGTTCCGTCCCCGGATCGCGTTTACGTACTTTTTGTGTTTCATACGTTTCTCATGGCTCGCCGCCCGTTCGCGTTGTTAATGTAACATTTTCAATAATATTAATCAAAACCATGGCAGATCGAAGACCTATACTCGTCTTATCCTCTATATTATTGTTGCTCGTCACGTGTCCTGTGGTAAATCCTGCGACCCGTCTGGACCCTCAAAAGGAATTAATTCGTTTGGAATGCACCGAGAGATGCGGTTTACAGGTAAAAATAAATATCTTGTAATTTTTTTACTCTACAAAGTTGTGGCACCTTTCTTCCGCCATCCAGTACATGTCATTATTATTAGTGCGTATTGATACTGTACATTTGTATCAAAATCAAAAACGTCTATCTATTATTTATTAAATAAATTTTGAGCAGATAAAATGCTTGTACCATTTTATCTTTAATTGTCTTGATTTTCTTATTGTAATTGCTTTCCTTATTGGGTCATTAAATAGAACTTTGGCATTACTTATTTGTGTAGGTACTTAATTATACTCATTTTTATTTCCCCCGGTGATAATATTGTTCACACGTTTCCCAGTAATAATTAGGTTTTGAATGGATATAATTATTTTTATTTATAATATTTTTATGTCCCGGCTTATTGTGTAGTCCACGATAAGGGTTAAAATTCCTTATTTCAACTCTGAATTAAATTCTATTTTTAAAAATTATTTCCCAAAATCAATGTTTCAGCCTTTCTTATGATATGCAATGTAAATATTATTATTTTATTATTATTAATATTATATTACCAGGGCATCCCTGGTACCTCTATATAAAAACAGTCATATTATATGTTAATCATATTTTATTTTAAAATCAATTTCTATTTAAATGTAAAATTATTAGGACGGCAGTGGTTTACAAGTTAGTTTAGGTTACATTTAGATCTAATCTATGTACCATTGAACCCATTACCAATTTTTAATAATATATTATACAAATGTTAATTTATTGGCGGAAAAACTATTAAGTTATCAATTCACGTATTACTGTGTACCCTTTGACCAACGAGTATAATTAGTAGACAAATATCCAACGAATATTTTGGTGTATATTATTTAAGTTTATCATTGTTTATTATTTACTGATATCGAATTTTTGACTCCAAAATCCTGATTGTTAATTAATATACATTTTATTGAACTACAACATTTTAAAATATTAAAACGTTCAATGATATATATTAATTATAATAATACTATTATTAAAAAAAAAAAATTATTAGTTAATATTTTTATCAATTTCCGCTATCTGAAATTAGTAAGACATGTGTAAACAGTTTACAATTTACAAATCGTATTATACCGTAATTACATTATAATCAATATTTTAGTATGCTTAGGTTTTTTGTTTGTATTTTTCATTTGTATTTCATAATTTTAAAAATAAAATGAATAATAATAAACTAGGTATACATTGGTTTATGAACATACAATGTTTGTATTTTCTTTAGACAAGCTGTAATTGCAAAAATTAAACTTTTCCAAAATCAAGGTACATATGATTAAATATATTTTGTGCTTGGTACACATTTTTAATCGGTGGAAAAACTTATTGCATATATTTATTTAGTTTAATATTACATATTTAAGTTAATACCTACACATTTAATAATTTTTTTTATTTATAACAATTTGTGGTTTATGATCAGTATATTATAGGTTCATCATATGTCATTTATTGTGAGTTTAAACAATTTTTTTTGTATGTAGTTTTACATTTTATATTTATTTTAATAATAGGTACAGAAATCATATAATTCATTCAACAGCAAAAAATGTAAAAAATAATAAAATCTTTATTAACAAGAAAGTATAAACTTGGGAATTCCCGCGATAAAATTAATTTTTGTTTTTATTTTTGTATTTACAATTAAAGGTATTACTACTACTCAGTTACTATATATTTATTAATGTTAAATGTAAAGAACACTATTATTACACGATAGTTTATTTTAGATATGTTAGTACAAAATAATCGATATCACCATTATTTAATTTTATTCTCAGCATAGTATACTATCTTGTACGTCCGAGGTATAAAAATAAAACTTAGTTGATAAAATTAATATTAATTTAAATAATTACAAAAATAGTGTAAGAATTTATTTCATTTTAGTAAACACGCACACATTACTATAATTTTTTTAATTTTGAGATTGTCAATATGTCAATAGGTATTATTCTTGAAATAAGAAATTGAGAATTTATTCTAGCGAAAAAAAATATATGTTATCAGTAAAATTATTCAGAATTACTAATGTATATTCGTTCACATTTTGTCATATGTTCGAGTAATTTTTATTCTTTTTGTTCTACATCTATCTTCTTTGTTTTGTAAACCTTTTTGTATATTTTTTTAATTAAATATCTGTGCTCTTATGCATAAAAAATATTTCATATTTTTCAAATTTTGTATTTACTATAAATAGTCATAAGATATACTCAGAGATGTACACGTAATTGTTTACGTGTATAGCTAACGTGTATAGCCTTACGGCTAATAGCACCAGATTTTAATCAAAATCGTGTTACTATTTGAATTTGTATATATCCATTTAGAATTAATTGTATATTTATTATGATCACTTTAAAATTTAACTGTCCATTTTATTATATCAAAGTGGGTAAAATAAAATTTTGTAAACATCGCAGTGCCGCTTTAATCGCAACTATTTTTAATTGACCATTACCATTTTTGCACAATACATTTCTTGGGTAGCATGATTTCACATAACATATACACTTTATCTCGTACGTGGTATAAGGGAGAAAAATATCATTCAGAGAGATTTCAAAATAGTACTTAGTACCCGGTTTGTTCTTTTATTTTTAGTATCTATTTTCAACTACCTACCAAATTCTTGGAAATAAAAACTATCTTGAAAATGTTGTAAATTGTTTTGTTATGTATTGTATTCAGTGCCGGATTACCCATTAGGCGGAGTATGCGCCTGCCTTAGGGTCTCACTCATCTAAGGGGCCCTGTTAGGGCCTCTTAGGAAAACTATATTTTTTTTATTCAATAATACTTGTATTTTATTTATGAATTTACTAGACAAAAGTCATTATGAAATACAATATTTATATTAAATTGTAGGTATTACTTGCAGTAATAATAATGAAATTATTTTGAAAAAAATAGAAGCAATATAATAATTAATTTTTCCCGCAAATAAAAAAATGTTATAAACACGATTTTATTTATTAATAATAGTTGGTTAATATTAAATCTGTTTATTTTAATTACTGATGTTGAAGATGTATGAAAAAATAATTTTGTAGAACTCAAAATTTTAATTGTCTAGGGGCCCACAAATGTTTAATCCGGCACTGGTTGTATTAAACTTTTAAAACATTTTATTGAAATTAATTACTAAAATATGTTCAAGTATAAATAAAGTTATAATATTATTATAATACGTGTAAATTATTTTATTGTGTCAAATAAATTGTGGCTTATTATGATAAATGATAAACGTAAGTATTTTCCTAATCCAAATTATGGAAAATAAATTTGTTATTTTAATAGAAATTAAATAACGTGTATTTTAATTGTGAATATATTTGGGTTTTATTATTACAACACAATAATAACGGCAAGAATATAATTGGTTTTTTTTTTTTTTAGTTGTAATATAGTTGTTAATATTAACTATTGATTTGAATTAAGTTAAACTATGTAAATTTTATACTCAAAATTCTATTATTGCCTAACATAATAAATATTTTCGTAACTGTGTTTTTTAAGTATTAAACTTATTTTTAAGAATTAAACATATGATGGCTCTTTTAATTAAAATTAATGGTTTGAATTTAACTGAAAGGGTTATCAATGCTAATCAAGAGCTCTTAAATTATACTTAAAAAGATATATATTATGTTGATATAAACTTATTAATCAACATTTACATTTTTGTTAGACCAAGGTTTTCAAATATAGTTAAAAAAAATAAATATTGTCTACTCTATAGCTACATTTACTTGACATAAAATACTCAAATTAATTAAGACAATTAAATGTGCTATTGCAATGATAATAATTTAGTTAACCTATCATTATTGTCTCTTTTAAATCAGTATTTGTTGTTTAAAAAATAATTCTATGAATTTTGTTTTTTATTTAACGTGCCAGTATAAAAAAAAAAAAAATGAAAATCAGTTATAATAAACTAAAATTCACAATATAATTTTATTGTGAAAATATTTAGTACCTATATTAGACTATTTTGTGTACATTTTAAATAAATATTTGTTTTTTGTTCGTAGTTAATGAATGGCTCATAAGATAACCATTTTATTTGTTTTGTTTAACTGACATTTACATGAACATTTACATTATATAACATTAAATTTTAAATTTAAATTAATTCTTGTTTAGAAACAAATTAAGTTCTTAAGTTCCTAAAATTTAAAAAAATGTATTATTATTACTGCTCTAAGTATTAGCTTAGATATTAGCGTTTAACTAAATGTTATGAAAACACAAATTTTGGGCTTATTGCAAGATTTTAAAATAGAAAATCTTATCTTATTAATTATAAAACTACTTATGTTTTATCGAGTGTATTATCTAAGGCGATTATATATTATTTTCTGAAATTAAATTAAAATTATCTTTTATTGATAGAATCTAGATTGAAATACTGTTATTTGTTATAGATATTGTGTGATTTATGATTAATTTGTTAATATTTCTGTGCTTTCCGTGACTATCAGTGATAATATTATAATTTTTTTATTAAAATTTATTAATTGTATTTATATATTTATATTTAAAACGTATATTTAATTCTTAAACAAACTTTTAATGCCTAGGAAAATATATTTTCAAGTGTATATTGTGTTAATAAGTGTTCCATAAAATATATTTTTATTTAGAAATAACACGAAATTTGTGATTTTTAACTAAATTGAAATACTCTATACATATAATGTGAGTATTGTATTAATAGGTATGTAGTACTACGTAATAAGTTTTTTGGTGTGTTGGTGTAAATAGTGGAAATATAGTTCGTCTTTTTAAGTAAAAAAAAAAATGAATTCTTTAAGTTAAAACCCAGTGTTCATCCAGACGGTTACTATTAAAAATGTAGTTAACGTGTATAGTGTATAACACTACACAGGGGCAGGATGTCCGCTCTTTTCGCTTGCAGGTAGATAATGAACGTTTATTCAACCACCTGTTCAAAAATGTGATTCGTTGTTATTAGTCTGAGCACTTGTTTTAACGGACAAAATTCTCACGAGTATTTGTTACTTTAAAGTTTCATATTTTTTAAATAACTATATAGCATTTTATTATTAAGTTTTTCGTGATAAACTACAAAACAAATTAGAAATGTTCAATGTCTTATAATTGTATTATATATGATGTTTATACATATATATTAGACAATTTTATTCAAATTATATTTATATGTAATCATGAAAATTTTGAAATTAAAAACAGTTAAACTGAGTACTGTGAAAAATAGATTTTATTAGTTGGTGGATATTAAAAATTAATGAATAATATTTGTTATATGTAGTATACCTAATTAATGTGTTATCTAGATTTAAATAATAATATATGAAATACATTTTTATTTATGTAATACATTGCTTTTTTCAATTGTTCTATTATATATTGTTTTATAATAAGTTAGTTTAGTATGTTTGACAAAACTCGATTAGAACTGACAATTTTATAATCTTTCTTTCTTTTTTACTTGATAACTTAACTATATATTTATTAAATAACACAATAAATTAGCATGGTGAATATATACAATATTAATAAGAAATAAATATGATTAAAGGGACCATTCTTTGATAGAACACTTGTTTTATAAACTTGCATTTAAAACTTAAGAAATGTTTAATGTATGTAATGATAAATAAATATTTAATATATTATATTTATACCATTTTTTTTTTTTATGTAAAAAATAACCAAAATTATTTACGTTTTAATTTAAAATTTGAGTTGTTATAATTTTATTATATTTATTTATATGTAAGTTATATGTTACATTTATTATCAATTATTTGTTATAATTTATAATTAGTACGATATAGATGAAATACTATTTCTAAACTATAATTTTATTTTAATTAAGAAACCGGTAGGTATATTTAACAATAGTATCTAATTTTAATTATTAATAAACATAACAATATTTTACACATATTTATGTTTAAGTATGTGTTTTAATGTCAGCATATATTATACATTAACGTAATTATGAACAAACAACAGTTACTGATCAAAAATCAAATTATTTCATTTCAGAATGAAACAAATAAACATGGGGAACTCATATGTGGTGCTGATTGTGTGGTAAATCAGGTAATGTAAATTATAAATTATATTTTCTTATTACATATATGTTTTAACAGATAAAAATGATTTACTGAAATAAATTTTAATATGATTTTATATAATTTTTCTGAGTATAATATGAATCAATTATTATTTAGTATATGTATTCAGACGAAAAAAAAAAAATGTTAAACTTTGTAAAAAATCTTTCTGAGAAAATATCTTGTCGTGTATATCCGGTTTATTCACAATATGGCTTTCGTGTTTCGTTCATTTCTGGCATGATGTTAAATGTGGTCAGGTGAAAAATAATTTATTGACCATTACTAATTATTTGCGGAAACCCTAAAAATGATTTAAATATTATATTTAGGGGTGTTTAAAAAAATAACAGTCATTCCTCTAGTAAGAATATATTTATTTCCGTTTCCTGTGGGCTTCAATGTATATGGAATTGTTTGAAATTGATATTCCTTTATATTTTTTAGTCAAAATATTATTTGTCCTTTAAATCCTTAAAATTGTAATATAATAATTATCATACTTGACTTATTATTTAAGTATTTATATTATTATTACCAAATAAAATCTACCCACCGGATGTCCAATAATTTGTAGGAATTTGGTTAAAATCTAAACGTCAGGTGGTGATATGAAGGTTTGAAGGGCTCCGCCTACGGAAGTTCACTCGACCGCTCACAAACCTCTGAACAATAGGATGAAATAAACCGTGTAGTGTGTATTAATGCGTAAACCCTCTTTGGTGGTAATATTGGTTTAAAATCTGTTAAACTTAACCTATATAATGTTAACTTTAAAAAATCTATATTATAATTTTTATTGATTTTTAATCCATAAAATATGCTTTTAATGACAGTATTTATGTTGATGTTTGTATGTGTTATTAAAGTTCATTATAATTTATTATTAGTCATTAGTATAAAGTAACAAGACTAGGATGAAATTATTTTGTCACAGTTAATAGTTAGGAAAAGTACTAAACCATGAACTTACTTACATAATTGATAGTGTATCCATCCGGTGTCATTTTGACTAGCATAATATTATATTTTTGTTAAATGTTTTATATATTATAATTTATTATTATAAAAATTGTTTTAAAATTATTATTGTTAATGGTGTACGTAATCAAAAAGATCATTAACTAATGATTTATAAACAGCTAAATTAATCCATTAAACATAATAAACCAACATTTGAAAAATGTTTGATCATGTTTAATGAATTAATTTTTTAAAATGTCGGAAAATTATAGTTGTAGGTCATAAAGTAAGGTTGGGTTTTGATTTAAATTATAACTACAAATACACGACAAATAAACCAATTGACTATTTGACCTTAATTAAAGTATTTAACTTATTATTTAAACTATTTTCGTCATATATTCTGGAACTCCAAAAATAGTTCTAAAAGTATAAATTATACATTATATATATAAAATATATTTAATTATAATTCGAGTATGAGATATATAGCTTTATAAGCTTTACATTCATGATAACTAGTTTATATGTGGTACTCGTTATTATGAATAATAAATTATTGTACAAATTTAATTCTAAGTTTTTCTATTTATTTTATTGTATTTTACCCTTCAATTTTCATCATAACTCAAGTTTCATTTTGTCCCGTTTATTGATATTTTATTTTTGATTATAATTAAAATTAGTTATTAATTTAATTTTACGTAAATGGAAGTAGTTAAACAACATAAAAAATCAACATAATTTAAATCGCTAACTTATTATTATGCGTAATTATTTTGCAGTGCAGAATAATTGAATCAAGTGGCCAAGGCACTTTTATACATCTGTATGTGAAAAAATATTTATTGAACGTTTCCTGTCTTGTTGCAGACAATATAAGTTAATTGTAATTTATATGAAGCCTTAATCTCTTTAGGTATTCCTTATGTATATAAAGAAAGTATAATTTATTTTATTTATATTTTAGAATATGGTAAATGTTCATATACACCTTAAACATTTGATGTTGAATTAAAAATTTATATGAAAAATAGCTTTTTATCATTTTTAATTTTTGGAAATTACAATACAATTTGTGTGTTATTTTAAAATTTTATTACTAACTTAGCTAGTCAATAAAACTGAATGATCAGATTCAATTGTAGTTAGTTGTTGTAAATTTTATTTTTGATAATAAAGATATGTTTAAGCTCGTTCGGCACAATTGTTATGGTAATAATGATAATACCCTATATTATTTAACTCTTTGTCTGTACACTGGGTCTTTTATGGCACAACCGAAATTTCAAAAATGCATTTTTTTTTTTTTGCAATTTCTTCATTTTTACAATGTTATAAAAAAATATTATTAATGAAGCATAAAACAAACTCCAGGATATTAAAAAGCAATCCTCAATTAGTAAATATAAATTTTTTCAGATTTTTCCTTTGTAAAGTGTCTTTAGTATTAAAAATCGCGTCTGTCCATTTATAACCCAGTGTACAGACGAAGGATTAGGATCCTTTCTATTTTAAGTTTTGAAATATTTTTGCTCCCCTTCCCCGCGTCATATATTACACTATATTTATTAATAATACTGTCATTATAACTAGTAGGACTTTATTTTATTCTAGCGTATTAGTCCAATACAAATGTTTGGTGTAATAAAGAAGTGTCTGATCTGTACGTTTAATAATAATTACTACTAAACAAAGTCAAATTGATATGAAGGGGCTCTCGACCCGCATGTGTGGATTGACTAATAAGTAACCCTGACTATTATTTTATCGAATTAATACGTTGTTAGGGTCCCGGATGATGTATCGTGTGAATTGCTGTGGACCTGGTCAACATCATTTAATTTAAATAAAAACAAAATTGTATTTTCATTTATTATTTTTATAGCAGTAATCTATTGTCTAAACTTATTAATAACTATTGGTTATTTTGTTTTTCATTTTAATATTAAACATTTCGTTTATTTAGTGCAATATAAAGTAATGTTCTGTAATTAGCATAAATATTCAAATCATAAATTCATACCCATAACTATATAGTTACCCATATTAGGTAACAAATACTGAATAAAAATGATAGAATTTAACAATTTTTCATCAGGTCTAATTTATTTACAAAAAATATAGAGTCTTTGTTTAATTTATATAAAAATAAAATCATATGAACATGCTTCTATTCGACATGAAATATAAATATTAGTTAGGTACTTACAAAAATATTATCATTTTTCTATTTCATATTGGATATCTGATAAAACAGATCAAACAAGTTATTTTTAATATAATATAATATCAAGTATAAAGATTATTTATAGTTTTAATTCAGATATATTTCCTGCAGTAATTCTACACATTAAGCGGGCTACACACGTGTAGTTAAAACTGTACGATTCGACTGTACAGTTTTATCTGTACATATAAATCGTTTTACACTTCAGCCAGGCCCGTATTTAGGGGGGCGGACACGGGTAGGCACATGCCCGAGGGCGTCAAGTCTCAGAGGCAGCAAAATATTTTAGCAAAATTAATTTTAAAAATGATGTACCTACCTGGTGAAAAAAAAATAAAATAGTATGTTCTATTATGTTATAATTTGTAAATTAAAAATAAATTGTATTTTTATTATATTATAATTTGTTAGTTAAAAAAAGGACATTGTATGTTTTATTATGTTATAATTTGTTTAATTTGATAATTAAAAAAAGTATTAAACGATTTTCATTTATAAATTATATTATTATTATTTATTATTATTTTTTTTTTATTGGGGAGGAGAATAAGTTATATGCCCGGGGCGCCAAATTATTAAATACGGGCCTGACTTCAGCATACACCTTCAATTAAATTTGAGTGATTTTACTGTACAATTAGAATAAATCGTGGAGTCATAGTCGATTAATGTGGCGAAGACAGATGATGCTCTCGCGATTCTCGGATTAATGTGCGTTTTAAAAAATAAAAGACTTAAAAAACGTAACTTATGGTGTAAACAATGGTTAAAAAAAAGTGAATATTCACATACAAATTTGATTAACGTATTGAGAATTACTCCAAAAGATTTTATTAATTATTTGAGGATGAATGAAGATACTTATTTGCACCTTCTTTCTTTAGTTAGGTTAATTTTGTATAAGCAGCATTTTTTTTGCTTCGATCATGATAATCTTTTTGCTTGACTTTCCATAGATAGGTTCGGAACGATACATTTCAATCAATTCTTCTGTCCACTCACTTATTTTTGTTGCCATCATTTAAATGACAAGAATAATAAATAATAGTATAAAATACGTTGTTATTCAGTTTTTAAAATTACGAATTGACTTTACCGTGTGACTGTAATGAAATTAAAACTGTACAGTGTACAGTTTGCCTACACACGGATCGTCTTATCTGTGCAGTTTAACTGTCGCAGTTTTATCAATTGGTACTTTCAATTTATTTCCGATCAACTGCACAGTTCTAAAAATTATGTCGTATTAGCCTACACACGTAAAACTTATCTGTACAGATAAAACTGTACAGTTGAATCATACAGTTTTACGTGTAACTGCACGTGTGTAGCCCGCCTTACATTAAATCTTTCATGTTTTTATCATATTTATACATTTAATCTATCATGGTAACGGTAGGTATTCTGTGGTAGTGTTTGTATATTTATATATAGTTATATATGTATAATTTATTTCAAAATCGTAAAGTCATATCAATTTTTCTTGGAATATTTTTAGTTTTTATAGTAATGAATTGATATTATTCCCAGATATTCCCAATTTTCCAACAGTATATAGTCATTATAAACGTAACTTCTCTAAATGACAATAACAGTGTTCTGTAATTGATTTATTTTATAATATATATTTTTATATTTTTCAGAATTTTACCGTCATAATATATACTTTTCATGAATTTTAAATTTAACCTAGTTTTGAAACTATGATGTTTTCTAGTATGAATAGTAAAAATATAAAATGGTTATTCTATACCATATTATGTTAAAATTTAAGGATATAACTTATAATAGGATTTAAGGATATTTACATAGGCGAAATTACGGATCAGACTAGTCAGGCCATGGCCTGACCTAATACTAATGAAAAATATGTATATATTATATATTTTAATCATATATAGGCATTAAAAATAATATATTTATATATTTAAACGAATACATTTGTACGTTTCATATAATACAATGATATTATATAGTATATAGGTACGATTGGTACAAATAAGGATTTTAATAGAACATAATAAGTCTATTCTATGTATTCGAATAATCGGTTTTCTTAGTTATTGTTTAATTTAGACATTTGACGTTATTTTTATAATTATACTATAGGAAATAATAGTTAATTTTACGTAATAATACTTTTTATATTTTTCATTTGGCCTGATCTAATAAAAGTGTCTAGTTTCGACTATGAATATCTATACCCGGTGTTTCATCTTGATTGGAAATATAGATAAATTTTGTTGTAGTATCACCATTTAAAATTATGTTTTATTAAATAAGTTAATAAAATAATGTGTCATTCTACTATTTTGTTTGTATGATGTACATTACACAAAAAAAAAAAAATATATATTTTTTTTTCTCTTTAGTGCATTTTAATTAATTAATTTTTTTATTTCAGTGTAATAAAGGATGTGCATTATGGAATGAAGCACTTAGTAGTAATTGTTCAAAAGTCTGTGTAAGTTATTTATATAAATATTTTTGTATTATTAATTAGGTATAAATATATTAATCATTTTTTTTAAATAATGAAAATATTTTACAGGACAAACTTAATGCAAATTACATCACTCAGAGCAAATTATATTGTATTGCAGGATGCAACAATGCTATTACTTTATATTTTCAACAAATTCAGTGTAAGTTTAATTACATTTTATTAAAATGTAATAAATATTATTTACAATTTTAACATATTTTTATATTTAGCTGAAATTGGACCTTTACCACCTCCATCATTAGTGCCCGATTCTTTATCTGATAAATCTTTAATGCTCCAATGGAAGGGTATAAGAAGAAAAAATTTTAAGTATAAAGTCCAATGGAAATTAGAAAATAATCCTGAAACCTGGCAATATTGTCGAAAAGAATCATGGAACAATGATTCAATTATAAAATTGGATAATCTACGACCTTATACAAATTATCAAGTACTAATTTACTTAATATATTTTGGTGCTGGATAGTTTATATAGAAAAATATTTTTTATGAATTACTATGCATTTTATTCATTTTGTTTTATATTAATATACTTATTTACCATCTTAAGATAAAATAATGTAACTCAAATTTAATTAAAAATTCATATAATTTAAGAGTTAAAAATATTATATAAATATTCGGTTTATGACCTATTAATGGTATTAAAGTTGAATGTATGATCTGCTGATTATAATAGGTACTATGTTTTTTGTTAGATAGCATTTTATTGAATATAACTAAACAATTATCTTAATTTCCATTTATTTATATCAAAAGTTGTAAATGTTACTTGTATTATAATATGTCATAATTGTATAGATCTTGTTGATCAAAAATGTAATTTATCTAAACTAGATTTTTTTAATACAAAATCATTGACTAAAATTATAATTGTCTTAGTTTTGTTAAATATTTTTGGCAGACAAGTTTCTAATTTATTTCTAAATTTCAATGAATACAATTCTAAAAATAATTGTCTAGTAAACAATCTTTAATGTCTGTCTTAATTTTAAAATTTGCATGTAGAAATCTTCAAAACAGAATTATACAATAAAAAAATTTCTATTTATAAACTGTCTATTATATAATTAAAAACAGATTAATTAAAGAAGTATATATTGCCACGATTGTAAATTAGGAAGAATAATAGTAAAGTCAATGTTCATCCCTATCACACTCAAGTGGCATCCCTGAAATATCCCTCCAATGTGTCTCTTGTAGTTAATCCATCATATCATAAGTAAGAATATATATAAAAAAAAACTAAAGTAATTTCTTAGTAATTACAAGCTCTAACACTGTTTAATAATTTATTTGAGTTTTAATAATAGTTTCAATATTAATCTATTTTTGAACTCTACTAGATTTGTATAAGCTATCCTGTACTTTATATTTGTCAAATTTTTCATTTTTATTGTGTACTTACATACATTTGTTCTTCATTAGTTTCGTATAGTATTACTATTAGCATGGTCCGGAGTAATGCAATTGATGGTTTCTGAATCAAGTGTAGTTATCAGTACACACGCTAGTAAAGTGCCACCTTCAATGTCACCAGAAATTGTGAGAACGATTCCTGCAGATTCTAGTATATCAGTTACGTGGAACGCAATTCCCTTTCCTTTAGCCCCTATCCTGTCCTATCATTTGACAATCCAAGAACCTACAAAAGGGTACACCGTCTTCAAGGTCAGAATATAATATGTACATAGAATTTCAATTTGCTTTTTGTTCTACTTCACTAAAATGCTGCATGGTTTGTTTTAAAAGCGCTGCAAATAGGAAAAAATATCAAGGAGCTCAGTTCCAGTCTGTATCATTATATGTTTATGTATATATACCCTCCTCAAAGCCTCTCTGTATTTGCACCACTAGATCTTTAGTGCACCAATTAATTTTATTTCTATCAGTCATTATAAAAAAAAAAAAGATTTTATTAGATATTTTTTATACAAACCATAATATAATAAACTAGTATATTGGTGATAGTGGATGTGTTTTATGCAGAACATGCTCAAACTTTTAATATGTTTTTGAAACAGATGTCTTATAGTTGTATTATTAATGTAAATATGAAAGGATTAATAAATAAATGATCACATTTTATGTATAATTCTAAGTAAAAGGTGACTGTGATGTATATAGTTGTTGTATTCAGATGACTATCTAAATTGGAAAAGCAAAAAAACAATGATTTTTTAAAATAAACATTTTTTTAGAATCATTAATCTTATTAAATACCTACCATTCAAATTTCTCATGTTCTTATACAGTAATTTATATTCTTGTTTTCAAATTATAAGCTGTATAAAATAAAATTTGGTTGGTATTATATAAGAAAAAAGTATATTAACATAATTGCACTAGCTTGTAAAATAAAATAAATTCAAATTACAATTTCAAGCTTCTCTAAAGTTCGAATAATTTATGAAATAAAAATGGTGTTTTGTGTAAATTGTATTTAAAATTTGCTGACTGCACAATATTTCTTCCTTACACTAACATTTTTGTGACTTTTAACCCTTCTTAAAACTACTTTTTCTCTTTTCTGTTATTATCTATTTATTGTTATTTTTTAAAATTTATATTTGTTATATAACATGAAATATGTTATTAGGAAATATTGACTGGTAAGGAAAATGAAACGGAACATTTTTATATGTTTCGTAATTTAGAATCTGCAAAAAATTATTCTATTTCACTTGCTGCTAGAAATGAATATGGTGTAGGACCAGAAACTAATCAATTTGTGAAAACACTTCCGACATCAATAAGTAAATATTAGTTATATTTAGTTGTAAAATTTTATAATTTTTGACTTTTTAATAATTAATTTTTATTTTCAGTAAGGTACACTCCCGAACCTATTAATTTATTTCTTGTATCTACCCATGATATCTTCGTTAAAACTAAAGAATTGATTGATTCACCTATCAGTCTTTATTTCACCAATTGGACAATCTATGGTATGAATATTAAAAAATTTTGCTTTTATTTTCTTAATATTGAATGAAAAATTGACAAACAATATATTGCAGGTGTATCAATGGATATATCTAAAAATATTACTTATATATCCGATTCTTCAGGTTCTTTACTATCCTTAGTCAATAATAAAACTTATGTTTTATTAACAACTAAAAAAGAAATATTAATGGATCTCACTATTGACTGGCTAAATAATCACCTTTATATTTTAATTTTATCCACAATAAACAGTGATACCAAAGTATATAGTATAAAAAAATTTGATTTAGAACAGAAAAAAATGTTTGAAGTAGTTTCTGGATTTGATTATAAACCATTCCAAATAGAAGTGGATCCTTGTAATGGGTAACTTATTATTATTTATAGTATTTATTTTAGTGATATTGCATATGGCTGGTGAATAGTTTTAATAAAATTATTAACTATTAATTATGTTTTATTATACTATTAATCATTAAAAAAACATACTTTTATTAATTGTATGCAAAAGACATTTTGATATAATAGATAGAATAATTTAAACAAAAAAAAATCATCATTTTACTTATTAGAGAATATAAATTATTATACTGTAGAATGTATTAATTGGTTATAGCCTGTATTTGTGTATTCCATTTATTACAACTGGATGCAATGATGTCACCTAGTATTTAAAGAATAACTAATATTGTTTGTTTAATTTTATTGAAAATAGTTATTTATTTTGGACTACAAAAGTTGGTTTATATCGTTTGGACTTGAATAAAAAAGTAAACAACTTAAAAATGGAAATGTCAAGCATGTTGATACTACAAAACAAAAATATTGGTCCTTTTGTAATAGATTATTTAAATTTTTGTTTATTGGTGTTATTCCAAAAAAGTAACACAATTATGTCTGTTTCGTTAGATGGGTAAGTTTTTTTAAACAATTTTTCTTATACATTTTATTTAAATAACTAACATTTTTAATTTATGTTGTTAATTGTTTTTTTTTTTTTTTTTTTTAGTCAAGATGTAACAGATATTAGAAATAATACAGAAACAGCTTTATTTGAAGATGCTATAACTTTAACTAATGTTAATGGTTCATTTTATTGGTCTAATGGTTCAGTACTAATGGGTGAAGAATATTCAGTCAATGAGCAAAAATATTATCAACATATATATCCAACTATGAATTATTCATATAATTTTATACTATCCAATTTTACTGATAGACAACCAGTACCACTTCCTAGAAGTCCACCACAATCTTTACAAGCAATTACTACATCTAACAAACTAAAAGCTACATGGCAGGTTCCACATTTATTAAGTGGACAAGGTAAATAATAAAAATTTATAAACATTTAAAGTAAATATTATATTTAATATAACATGTATTAAATTATATTATATGGAGTAATTTTATAATTTTTTAATTTTAGCACACAATGATAATTTGTTATAACTTTTTAGGGCGCAATTCATGGCAAGGATGGTCTTATCGATTTTCAATATCATTTGAAAATGAAACAAATTGGAAAAATATTGATGTTAATAAAACAGAAATAGTTATTGACTCATTGACTTCTAGTACCAATTATGTTTTAAAAGTAGCTGCTTACTCCTCTTCTGGCCAAGGGCCCTGGTCTTCAGAATTTGTTGTTAAAACACTAAATCATAATGTATCTGTACTTTGGGGAAATGCACAACAAATTTTAATTTCTGATATCATGGGTGATTACATACAATCAATTTCACTTGATGAAAATGATGTAAGTATAAAAATATTTTTTTATTTTTCATTTGTATTTAGTTTTGGTTGTATACAATTATGATTATTATTTTTTAATTAAAAGCTAACATGAAAATGTTCTCTAAATTTATACCTTAATACTGAATCTCGAGGTTCATCATTACATATATTAATGAATTAATTTTATTATTTGTGAAATACAATTTTACATTTATAATAATAATATAAATGAATAGTCTGCACAATAAATCTTGTATTGATCAAGAATACATCAATACTAATATTTTTAATTATCTAAAAATGTTTGAATATATTAAAATTTTAAATAACTAAAATTAATTTATTTGTTTGAAGAAAAAACTTTAGGTATATATTTTTTTTATTACATTTGAAATGCAAAATTAGTTTTAAGAAAATGTTTGGCTTTTTTTTTTAGAAAACAATTAAAAATTCTTCATTAAATGATGTTGCTTGGTATGAAGATTGTGTTTATTATGTTGTAAACTCAAGCAAAATTAATTGGCTTAATTTAACAAGTCACCAAAATAGTACATTAGAAGGTATTAATAGTGTTCAAAGTATAGCAATTGACTGGTTGGGTCGGAAAATATACTGGGCAGATCCATCTAAACAATTAGTAATCAATATTAATATTAAAAATGTTAATACTTATACTTAACATAAGGGTAAATTTCAGATTTTAAGAGAAAATTTATTTGGTGGACAAAGAGAGATACTTTTAGTATCTGATATTGCTAAAGAATTGAAAGTTGAATCGGTTGGTGGTTATTTATACTGGTCAACAGGGTTTTCAGTCAAATCTTCAAAACTCAATGGAAAAGAACAGCAAATTTACTATAGTGCTGATTACTTTTCAGGAAAAAAAGGCATGAGTGCTTTATATTCATTAATCAAATAATAATATTATTTATATGTATTTTTATTTAAACATTAGTTATGAGCTTAGCTGTTGATTCTGTTGGTCGATGGGTGTATTGGATACTCAGAGAAAACGATAAATCAAAATTATTCCGAGCACCTACTGCTGAAAAGCTCAAAGATTTTGTTCCTAACCATGTTAAAGAGTTTGATAACTTATATACTCAAGGTATACACTATTAATATATTGTGCATTAGAAGTAGATATCAAATTATTTTGTTTTATATCCAGGACCTTTATTCTATGTAGACTGTCATTTGCTGTGGCTTCAAAATGGTAATGACATAATGATGAGTGATACAGATGGCCAATATCCAGCAATCATAAGAGCTATGAACTTAAATGGTATACAGACCTTTAGTGTGCTTGACCCATATGCTCATCCAAAACCAAAAGGTATTAAACCAAGCATACATCTACAATTTTTGTTTTAGACAATTTATTGTTTTAGAAACATTTTATTAAAATTACATAGATAAAAAATAAATTATTTTATTATTACTAGGATTAGAAACAAATGTTATTCCAGAAGAAGTAGATATAAAAATGATCAAAGTAAATCCTATAGCTGGTGTATATGAAATTATTTGGGAGCCTGTTAAAAATGTTAATCATGGGTTGGTTTCTTATACTGTCAAAGTTTTGGAAAAAGAAGACTTGAAAGGAGATTCTTTAGTTAGTATATATTAAAATGTTCTATTATACGTAATTTTTAAAATTTAAAAATATTGTTATTTGTCTTACAGTTTGACACACCAAATACTAGAGTATTAGTTGATAGTACTCCATTGGAAATCAGCATTAAAGCTTCTACAGTTTGGGGTTCTTCAGATGTAGTGACAATATACACACCAATCCCTTCAGAACCTACAGACATTCGAATATTTTCAAATTTTAGTTATAATAATCTGACTAGAGATATTATACTACAACATTCATTAATTGAAAATATTACATACTATGAAATTGTGTGCTATCGTCAAGTAAAAGATTCTTGGGAAGTATGTTTAAATCAAGTTATCAAATCAACAAATACGAGAACAATATGGCCAGGACTTCCTGTTAATTCAGATATTTTTTTTAAAGTATTATTTTATTGTTATTTAAATGTGAAGAATAAATTAAAATAATGTTTTTGATTCCTAGATAAGAGCTTGTTCTATGGCTGGTTGTAGTGGATGGACTCAAGACATTATACTTAATCAAACTTTTAACATTTTGAAATTCAATGCTGCTATAGTGTATGGCTCTAAAATTATAATTTTTCATTTAAATAAACAAAACAGTCATCAAGTTATATTACAAACAAATAGTCCTGTTACTAGTCTTACTTTAAATGATCTAGAAGATGTAGTATTTTGGACCAACAGTAAAACTATATTTAGTTCGCCAATAAATAAATCAATTCATATTAAAGTAATTATTTTGTTATTATATTTATTTTTTCTAATTATCAATTATTTTTTGTACTGGTATTTTATAGATTTATTCAATTTTAAAACAAAATATAAAAATTGAAAATATATTATTTGATTGGATATCAAAAACACTTTTTTGGTGTGAAGTTTCTGATAATCAATCAACAATTATGGCAATGAATATTGAGAAAAACAAGGAAGCAAAAGTATTAATGGTGAGATCAAATAGAATATTCCCATATTCAGCTGTTCTTTCTGAAGGGTAAGTGTAATTAAGTTATAGATTTCATTAAAAATTGTAAATAATGAAAATTTCTATTTTTAGTTTATTTATTTGGATTGAGAAAATATCAGATTCTAATGAAAATAATTTATTGAAAAGTAACATTAATGGTACAGATATTGAAACATTTGTGTATTCTAGCAACAGTAATTGTAATTGTACTAATTTGTATCCATTTGATAATGTATTGACCCTATACATGTCAAATAATGGTAAAGCAAGACTGTTATGGGTAGAAAGCAAACATCGAAATATTGTTGTCTCAGATATCAATGGATGTAAATGCTCAATTATTTTTCTTGTGAATTCTACTTCAAATTTAACATCGTTAGCAATTGATAAACACTATATTTATTGGACAACAAATAAATCAATGTGTTCAATACCGTTTAAAGAATTCAATGATATACCCATGATTAAAGATGATACTTCATTATATTGTATAAATAATGTAACATCTGTATATACAATTGATGGACTATCTGAATCAAGTAAGTTATTAAAGGTTATTATATTAAATTATCCAAGTAAAGATTATAATAATTGTCTATTAATGATAAATAAATCACTATTTGAAATAATAAAACATAAAATTATATCCTGAGTTATGCAAAGAAAATAAAACCAATTAGTACTTGTGTATAATACATCCCTATAACACTAAATATTTTTTGCACAAGCTAAAGCATATATAATTTTATAGCAAGTGATTAAATTTCACTTTAATAAAAGCCATCAAGTTTCTTATACTATAATTAATAAATTATTTAGATAAAAAGCCATGTCCTCCAGGATTTCCTCAAGTAAATCAAACATTACCATCTGTTTATATGGTATACTGGGAGAAATCTGAATCACGTGTTAAAAGTTATTCTTTAGAAAGATTAATTATTACTGAAATAAGAAATAAAAGAAGTCTCAATTTGAATATAACTAATTGGACAACAGTTTATAATGGACCTGGTATTTACATCTTTTAGTTACTTTAAAATTCAGAATTTGTATTAGTTATTTTAAATCATAATTTCAGAGAGTCATTGGTACATGTCTGATGTAAAACCAGATGTTATATTTAAGTTTCGCGTTAAAGCAGAAAATCACCATGGCCGATGGAGTGAATATAGAACATCTGATGAACCATTTAATCCTCAATTTCAAGTAGAAACATTAAAAAATGAAGATATCTCATGGAAAATAATAATAACAGGATTTATTCTTATTTGTCTTTTCTTGACAATGTTAATAAAATATTGTATGTTATTTAGAGTTTAATTTATATCAAATTACTTAAATATTAAAAACTTTGCTTTAGCTGGTTGGGATACTTTTAATACAAAAGGACCTATGAGACCTGATGTGGAATTAGGGAGACTTAGAGAAATGCCACAACGACCAACTTTCTGCCATGCTGTGAATGTGGGTTACCAAGGTGTCATATTATACCAAAAAAAAGATAATAATGAATTGCCTAGTATTAAACGTGAACAAATAACACTTACAAAAAGATTGGGTTCGGGAGCTTTTGGAGAAGTTTTTGAGGGCAAAGTTAAAGATATAATACGAGGAGAAACTGAAATACGTGTTGCCATTAAATCATTAAAAGAAGGTGCTACTCAAAGTGAAGTTGTAGAATTTATAAAAGAAGCTAAATTAATGAATAATTTCAAGCATAGACATATTTTGCAATTAATTGGAGTGTGTTTGGATAATGATCCTAATTTTATTATTATGGAACTTATGGAAGAAGGAGATTTATTAAGTTATTTAAGAAAAAATAGACCTACTAGTGTAAGGAATATTATTTATTATAAAAAAAAAATTAATAAAGTATTTTTAATTTCATAATTATGATTATTTTAGACAACCAAGTCAAGTTTAAATCTTATTGATCTGATCAGTATGTGTATTGATGTAGCTGAAGGGTGCTCATATTTGGAACAAATGCATTTTATTCATCGAGATTTAGCGTGTCGTAATTGTTTAGTATCATCATCTAATCCTAAAGAAAGAATAATCAAAATAGGAGATTTTGGATTGGCAAGAAATATTTATACACATGATTACTACCGAAAAGAAGGGGAAGCTTTGCTGCCAGTTCGGTAATATATTCATACTTTTTTTCCTGTATATTTATATAGTTATTAATTATTAATTTTTTTATCCTAGTTGGATGTCACCAGAATCTCTTGTAGATGGAGTTTTTACTAGTCAATCTGATGTTTGGGCTTTTGGTGTTTTGTTATGGGAAATAATGTCTTTGGGTCAACAGCCTTATCCAGGACTGTCTAATATAAATGTCATGTATCATGTTCAACATGGTGGAAGGCTTGAAAAACCAATCAATTGTCCTAAAACTTTGTAAGTATATGTTAATGATATTCAGAATATATTTTTAAAGTTGTTCAATAGTATTTTTTTTATCCTTATTATAATAAGATAACCTTTATGTGTAAAGTCAATATAAAGTTGGTTTATTAATAAAAATATTTATATTTAAACAACCTATAATAGTGCTCAATAATGAATAATAGATACTGCTTGCATATAAGATTTAATCAAATTAAATAAAAATTAGTCAGTTGCCTGGTCATCTTATTCATTAATTGTAGAATATATATTTTTATTTCAGTTATATTTTTTATGTTCTTCTTTGGATTTTCATAGGCCATTAAGATTCATTACTTACACATACTTCTTTCCATCTATCTCTATTCTGTACCATTGTTTCTCCATCCTGAATTCTAATTTCCATCAAGCTCTTTTCAATTTTGTCCAATCACCTTTCTTTCAATCTGCTCAATGGTCTTTTTGTTTTTGTTTTCCACTTTAAAATCGCTCTTATCAAACTATCTTACTGCCATATGTGGACAGCCCATACAACTCTTCTCTAGTACAGCGCTGTTTCTATATTAGGATCTTCGTATAGTTATCGCAATTCCCTATTGCTCTTTATCTCATATTTTTTAATTATATTTGGCTCATAAATGTTCTGTAATATTTTTTCTCTCATCTCCTTTAGTTGTTGGTTAAGTTTTATACACATATAGAATAACTGATCTAATAATTACCTTATGTAATGTGTTTTTTGATTTGAGTGACACTTGTTTAGATTTGAAGATTTTTGCTGAACTGTTATAGGAATTTTTTGCTGCAGCTATTGTTCTTATTTTAATTTCTTTGTGGTTATTATTTGTGCTTTTATGAAGCCCAAATATTTGAAATTAAATACTTTTTCAAATTTATAATTTTAAATTTCTAGATGATCTCTGTGATCATCTTGTCTAGGTATTACCATATATTTTATCTTTAGTTCATTAATTTGGAGTTCAATGTCTTTACTATTTTTTATTAGATCTTCAATACCTGGTTTTACTTCTTCACTATCTGACACATGAATGATAATATCATCTACGTATGGAAGTATTCCACACTGTCTTCCATTGTCTTTCAAATTTAATTTATCATAATTTATCTGCGATTTATTAATGACTGTTTCTAGTGCCAAATTAAAGAATATCATTGACAAAGCGTCTAAGTCCAGAATTTAGTTTGAATTCATCTTACAAGTGTTGATTGAATTTGATTTTACGTCTGGTTTTAGTCAAATGTAATATAATCATTTTATTTTTGCTGGTATCTCAAAAATTATTAGCTTATTCCAAAGTATTTCTCTATTCACTGTATCGTATGGTTGTTTATAATCCATAAACAGTATTTACAAGTCTTTGTTGAACTCAAAATCCTTCTTGACTAATTGCTTAATGGTAAAAATGTAATCTGAGGTTGATTTACTACTCATAAAACCACAATGATAATAACCAATGATATCTTTTGAATAGGTTTTTATTCTATTTAGTACGAGGCTTGATAAATTGTTATATACATTGTATTCAGCAATGATATTCCTCATAATTGTGACAGTTCATATCTCTCTTTTTATAAATTGGATATATTATCGCTACTTGTCACTCTTCAGGTATTTTTTCTTTATGCTATACTTTTTTTATTAATTTATCACTTCTTCACTACTTTGCTTTGTTATTAAGTGTATTTATAATTATTTGTTGAAACTAGTTCTATTAGTGGGTGACTATACTGTATTTCTGGATTTAGTAATTCCCTAAATACCAATTTTTTTGCATTTTATTTCCCTTTTGTTATTAGTATTCTATTATTTTCTGTCATTATCTGTGCTCTGGGTTTTTTATTTACTTTGCTTAAAAACGAGTCTTGGGTTTTTCTTCGATGCTTTTAATTCTTTCTTTTTCCTATAATTGCTTTTCTCTTCTTATTGTACTTATGGCTTATCTCAGTTTTTATACAGAGTTTCTGTTATTCTCTATGTTCATATGATTCGTTTTTTTCCTAGTTTTTCCATTGCAGTTGCTTTTTATCATTCTTTCTAACTTTTCCAAATGAGTTTTTATGTTTTCTATTCTCTAAACTCCTCTTTAATTTATTACCCAATTCCTTCTTATATTGGTTCAGTCTTTTGGTATTATTAAGGTTATCCAGTTCGAGTATTTTTAAATACTTTTCATCCATTTTTTTTCCATTTTGATTTAATTAAGAAATTTTCTGATTGGACAGTTACTCCACAATAACTTCAAACACATTTTATGATGTTATTGATTGTCAGGTCTGTCAGGACATAATCAATTTGATTTTTTATGCTTTCTCCCGGAAAGAGCCATGTTTCCTTACGGATTTCTTAATGTGAAAAAAGTGTCCTAGTGACTTAAATACCCTTAAAATTGATAAATATTTTACTTAAAAAACTTGAATTTTTCATTTTAGGTATAATTTAATGCTAAAATGTTGGAATGTTGAACCAGAAATTCGTCCAAGGTTTGAATTCTGTTTGAAAGTATTAAAATCATACAAGGCTATGCCGTTGGATTATGTTAACATCTCTCATGATCGTAAGTTTAAAATGCAAAATAATTTGTTTTCTAGTTTTTATTATTGAATTATTATTTAGCCCAACTACACAATGTATCACTATCATCAGAGAAATACTCAGTTGACCTCCTTACATATATAGATTCACAATCAAAATTGTCTCATCCCATAAGTAATGAAGGATATGAAATACCTGTTAAAATTACTAACAATGAGTACCTTGAGCTGTGTAGTGATACATGTGAATATCTAGATTTATCTAGAACACCAACAGTACATATGGTTGATGGTAAGGATTCAGAAGCTGAATCAATTCCTGAAGATATTCATTTACTATATTGTAACATGAGTGCTGAACAATTATAGAATTATTAAAACAATTTCTCATACATATAACTGCTGGCAAAAGACTTAATAATTTATTTTGTTAATATATATAAATGATGTAATAGAGTAATATAATTATTACTCTAATTTTCAAAGCTTAAAATGTAATTGTTTGTAAATATTGAGTCAATTATAATTTATGTTTTATTCATATTTTTCTATAATTAAGCTGTTCATATTTTATTGAATTTATATTTAAGTACATTTTTATCATTTACTGGTAATGAATGGCAGCTGTCAATATTGTAAAATATTTGTTTTATAATAATTGTTATTACAATTTTAATTTAATGATGAAACAATTAAAAGTGTATCACTTTTAAGTGTTTAATTTGTATGTAGTGTGAAGTTCCTATGTAAGACATGTGTGTTATACATATATATATATATATATATATATATATATATATATATATATATA